TTCTGCACTACGTATGTTTTGCTGGGGCAATGGCACTTAGTTTTGCTGGTGCAATGGCAAATGACTTAGGCTAGATGGGACTGACTTTGGTTGGAAGTGTGTAACAGATACTAGAGCTGAACCTTTAACATAAAATAAGCCACATGGTTTTAACAATGGAATAATAAAAGCAATTAAATTTGTAGTGTGCTAATGAGTTAAGCCTAAGGTGTTTATAAATTCAGTAATAAAGGCACTTTATACTAAGATGTCAGTGCCAGATATTGGTGAAATCAGGCTGTGACTTTCCAGATACTTGCAAAGTTCATGTTTAAAAATGTTGGTCATTTTTGACATTGTGGTATCGGTATGATATATTTTTACTCATGGAATAAAACATCCAGCTTATACTGCAGTTTTTAGCCATTGGAAATAATGGCTAAAGAAAGAGGACTTACAAAGGTGCGAGTAAAACTGGACAGTTTGGAGAAGGGCTTTTCCTGTGGGATGAAATATCTCAAGCCTGTTGTTTGTTTTAATATTACCAGCTGAGAATTTACATTGCTGACAATAAATGATAGGGACCTTACTTAACTAATATAAATAGTAAGTTTAAATTTTGTCTTGCTGCTACCACTCTGAAGATATGAACCATAATACATTTAATAACTTTCACATTATTATTTATTGTGATGAATTCTATTTAAGTCAAGTCACCTATTTTTAACCTAACAGACAATACACAAACCATCCAGAGCATATTCTGTAGAGGATTTGAAAAAAAAGCCCATCCATTTGATTATATATTAACTTAGAATGTATATTTTCAATCTGTGGAATAAAATATTTGAACAGAAAAAAAGGCCCAACTTACTGAATAATATTATCCAATGCAGATTACTTTTTCACCTCTCATCAGTGTTATACCTTTATCTCACACTGGAATGGAAGGTGGGTATTAATATTCAAAGCCAACATAGGGCATTAGATATTACATATCACTGTACAGAAGATCCAGAAATAGATGATTTACTTTAAAGGGGATAATCAAAGAAAGCTAATCAAAAAGCTAATCAAAAAGAATATTTAAAGGTGCCTTGATCATGATCCATAGGTACATATACAGGGAGAAGATTACAAGTACTAAAGAATCTTTAAGCTTTCAGAGATGAATGCTTAATATAAATTGCTGGAGGTTTGGACTGGACGAGTAAGATCCCTGTTTGTAAACTGGGGGAGAAACGGGACAACAGTGAAACAAATCATTTATGAGATGGGCTAGGTTAAATAGTCTATTATTAAACTGTTTAAATGGAGATTGGGTAACTTCCTCAAAACCAGACTCTGCTTTCTTCTTTTGGCATCAATGTAGGAAGGTAAGGGTGCAATTCTGTGGTGTTTTCATGCAGGAAGTCAGGTAATTAATTCATCAATATGAGTCCATTTGGCCCTAAAAATCTGACAGTCTGTCGTGGTTTAAGCCCAGCCGGCAACTTGGAACCACACAGCCGCTCGCTCACTCCCCCCCTTTTCCTTCCTCCCCCTGCTCCCGGAGGGATGGGGAGGAGAATCGAAGGAATGTAACTCCCACGGGTTGAGATAACAGCTCTCCAGTAACTAAGGTATAATACAAACCACTACAGCTACCAATAATAATGATAAGGGAAATAACAAGGGGAGAGGACACAACCACTCACCACCCGCCGACCGATACCCAGCCCGACCCGAGCAGCGATCTGGGCCTTCCGGGTAACTCCCCCCAGTTTATATACTGGGCATGACGTGCTGTGGTGTGGAATAGCCCTTTGGCCAGTTTGGGTCAGGTGTCCTGCCTCTGCTTCCTCCTGGCTTCCCCTCCTCTCTGGCAAAGCATGAGACTGAGAAAGTCCTTGGTCAGAGTAAACATTACTGAGCAACAACTAAAAACATCGGTGTTATCAGCATTGTTCCCAGACTGAAAGTCAAGAAACACAGCACTGCACCAGCTACTAAGAAGGAGAAAAAATGACTGCTGTAGCTGAACCCAGGACACAGTCTGAACCTTGAAGTGTGCACAAGAAGAGGTACAAAGTCACATGGAACAAATGACTGGTGTTGAAGAAGAAATATGTAAAAGTTAATAATGAGGAGGAGAGCAATTGAAGGATGTTTTAAAAAGAGCTATGAAGAAAGAAGGCAGTTGATGTCAAGGATAGAAGAAGTTCAAAAGAAAGTATAAAACTAAAATCAGGAGAGAAAACCCAAAGGAGATACAAGATAAAGATGGCTCTGAGCATGAGGAATAGATCAGGAGAGAAAAAGTAGTGATTTAGAAGTAGGATAAATAATAAGGAGCTTTGCAGATGTGAATTAAGGGCCTGATTTTTTTGCAGTAAATATGTCAGCTGCAGGATTCAAGTGGTCTTACAATGTTTTGAAGCCATGAAAGAAGTAGAAGTCAGGCTGTGAGGAGGCTTTCCTGCCTTTTCCAGCAGTTAAAAGAATCATGAAAAGAAGAAACAAAAGTAGTCAGTGACACACCAGAAGATTATATACATGACCCATTGATCAAAGCAAAGAGTGACATATCTAATCTAAGAATCTTTCTTCACAGAAGTAAAAAAGAAACCATCCTGTTCACCATCTATTCCCTTTTTCCTCAGAAAATTTTGCTTACGATTGTGAGCCAACGTTAGTGAGCTCTGGGGCAGAGGAGTAGTTAGCAAGAAAAGTGTGCATCAATAGCTGTTGCTTTGGTTACAAAGGCACATGAGCATGTATAGTTGTGACAAGCTATTTTCAGCTTTACACCGTGAAATAGAGAGAATATTTATAAAAAAGATTATGTTACTTCTGCTTGGTATCTCTGTGGTGGAAAGTCTCAGTGCAGTGTCACATGCTACATCATCCTGCGTAATTGTTGCTGTATGCTCTAATGACATTGAAGTCACCCGTGATGCTGAGTGCACAGAACTCGTCAGCTTGGGAAGGAAAAAGTTGTTACTGGTGCTGGGGATATATCTTCATGAACAGCGTTTCTTAAGTGCTAGCTATTAACTTGAGTGGGAGCGGTACTGGGCACCCAGCTGCCTCCACTGCGTGTGTGTCAGCATATAGATACCGCTGACTCCTTAGCTGAGCCCACGCTAAGGCATAAGCACAAAAGGCACAAAATTGCAGAGCAATCTCTGTCTCCCAGTGAAAATCAAGCACGGTGGGGGATCAAACAAATGGTTAGATCTCTGCTGACATTTCAAACCTTCTGCAGAGAAAGATGACAGCAACTTAGGTTCAGGAGAAAGGCAGAGAAGGCGAGAGAATGGGGCACAAGCAGTATGGTGGTGCCTACAGGTCTAGGGAGGCCCACACATTAACTCTCTGTCAGGAAGAGAAATGAGCTATGAGCTCTGGAGTGAACCAGAGATGAACCAGAGTCCTATCATTGCCAAAATCCTTTGGCCCTTCCTATCTAGCAAGATGATGGGAATGGCTGGGAGCAATTCACTAGCCCCACTTCGTTTCTGGTTTATTCCCATCTTAGCCCAACCGCAGCTTCTAGTTTAGACTCTATGGGGAGACACTATGATAAATCTTGTCCTTCGTGCCACTTTGTGGGCCCTGTCACCTAGCAGGAGAGTCTGAACCCGTGGGGGAGAGGACAGCTATGACAGCTCCTCCTTTAAAGATTTATTCTTTGAAGCTTCATGTCCATGACATCAAGAAGGGAAGTCAATGGATATGAGTGTTAAGAGACAAAAAAAGACATTCCATTTGAAGAAATGACCCCTTCATGAAACCTGCTTGTGAACTCAAGATTTTAAATGAGTCTGACCCAGTGGGAAAAAAAATCAAACTGTTCTGTACAGAAGAAATTCTCTGCTGGAAAGCAAATAAGAAAGTTCACAGGCACTGCAAACACTAGCCCAGTGGGTAATTCTCTGAATGAGATGCACTTTGCACTCACAGCAGTACTGAAATTCAGCAGCTCCCAGGACTGAGATTTATTCAATTTTACCAATAAGAATGCAACTAATAATAGTTTTAAAAAGGAGGAATTTACTGTGGAAGTGAAGATAAAATAGCAGATTCTGATCTTTATTACCCTGGCTTCTGTCAGACATATTTTGCACCACTTCACATAAAGTACAGATGTCACAGAAAAAAACCACAAATGGGATCGAATCAGACTCTGAAATTTTATCATGAAGGACATATATTGTTCCTAGTGTCATTAAATCCCTTGTATGGACAAGGAAGACCCAAGGGCCAGGACCCCTCATGGAGGCAGAAGGGATTTCCACAACCTGAGGCTCAAACTGCACTCCCTTTCAAATGCACCTTGTTCACATTGAAATTAGGAGAGTGAAGGCTGGGGAACCAGTGGCAGTGGTAAGCTTCTGCAGCAATAAGCCTCTCCCAGCAAGGGATCTAGCATCCATTCACCTCCAAGTTTGTGTGAGAGCTCTCCTCAGTGTGGAAGGGGGTACCCTTAAACTTAAATTTGTGCTGATGGGGCTGAACAGCCATCTCAAATCACTCCAGAGACAAGTCTCATTGAAGTCAATGGTCTGCTCCCTACGTAAGTAATCTTTGTGGACTGGGGTCTTACCTAGTCATCCTTCACAGAGCACTTTAGGTTCCTCTGAGACCATTTGTTAAAGTCATTTTTTCCTCCCCTTCCAGCTGAAGAGTTTGGAAAGGTGTCAGAAGATTTGTATCATGCAAATTGCAAAAGGAAAGTGTCACTAAGGTAGGAAGACTTCACAAAAAATAGCTCAGGGAACTATACAGTATCCAGAATTAAATTTTATAGCAGTCCATAAAATTGAAGTATGAGCCAAGGGTTAACAACCTTGAATTTTACCCTTAAAATTAGTCCAAGAAGATCTACTTCATTATAAATACTGTAATACTACATAGAGTCCTGTTGATTGATATGCCCAAGAGCTACCTTTGTCGGCAGTCTTTTAAGCAGTAATCCTTCATTTTGGTCTTAATAGTAAGATAGGCACCTCCTTCCTCATTGGGCTATCAATTTTTACCTGCCAATATAGTTTGATGAGCTTGCTTGTATGCCGCTCAGTGCCTCCTGTCAGCCAGTACATATAGTCAGCGATCATGGCGCTCCTGATGACAAAAGCAGAATAAATGAGTGTACAGGGAGGGAAGGATGTATATAGCAATATTTAAAGGAGGAAATACTTAGAGAGTGTAATGTAAGGTTTGTATCAAAAGATTACACATAACTCTCAGTCTTTGTCCGACTTCAGTAAGATAAGCACTAGTAAACATTCTTTAGATAGCTAAACTATCTGCAAGCAAAGATGCCTACATTTTCCTTTAATAGCTTTTCCATATTTTACTCTGAGCAAATATTTAATGACTGCAACACAATATTCTAGTCTGGATTTTTTTTATAGTATTTGTGAATGAAATATGTTAAGTGCAAGTACATTTATTCTAGGACAGCAGCAACACATGTAACACCCTGTAGCTTGGCCATCTGAGCTTATTACTTGTCTATGGCAAACTCATACTTCACCTTTGATTAAACTATATCTTAAAAAAACCCCAACAAAACAAACTAAAAGTAATCAGCCATCTTGCTACCTAATGGAGTATGCTTTAGTACTCCCACTGTCTGTGACAATCATTGCATTGCTCTTTCTAGACTGAGGGATATTAAAAAACTATTGTGTAGTGGATATTAATGCAGAGTCTAAACAGACTTTAGAAAATCAGTTTGCTTTTATGGCTGCCTCTCCACATTGCTCTCCGTTTCCTGTCCTCTAGAGATTCCAAATCCAATTAAATGTTACTAGATGTAATTCCAAATTGTCACTTAGTCAATTAAACATATAATAATCTTGTGTACCTAATTACTAGCACCAAAAGTTTATTTGTTGATGTAGTGCTAGCAATGTGTACTTCTGCATGTTCCCCTTATCATTGCCTATATATTAATTGTGCTTTGACATTACTGTAAATTGAATTTGAAATTTTCCCCTAGTTAAAAGTGTCTCACAAACAGTAATCCCAATCCTGTTGTAATACCCTTTCAGAATGTACTTTCCAAGGCTGTATTATGTTCTTAATGAGATATAACCAAAAATACACGGATTTACCAATAAACATTTCAAAGCAAGCCCAGTATCAGGGGGTAACATATTGTTACAAACAGGAACTAAATCTTCCCTTAGATGTTCTCACGCAGCTCCCATTAATTTCACTAGGAGAAAAGCAATTCAGTAGGATCCATGGATTTCTGCATAAGGACTGGATTTAGCCATAAGCTTTACTCAATGCTCATTTAAATCATTGGCAAAAATTCTCTTGACTGCACTAGAACAATGAGTAGTTTCTAACTGAACACCATTAGTTCAGCCGGCATAGGATGAACAAAGGATGAAATCCTCGTTGCCTTGAAATTCATTGGCAAAACTCTCACTGACTCCAAATGGTGCCAGTGTTTAATTCCAGGGATGACATATGGATCCTATGAATGAAGCAGGGAAGGTGAGTAAAGCATCTAGCTTTGCCTGCTTGACCTGGTGATAGTTTTGAGGAAAGACCTTCGCTAGGTTCTGAGGTGGAAAAGGGAAATAACCATGCGACACAGAATTGAGGGAAGACTTTGAATGAATTTGTCATGTTATTGTGTACCTTTGGTCTACTGAACGTGATCTACAAAGCTTCCAGCTCCCATGGCAATGGCATATGTAGACTGTAATGGTGTACATGAGCAGTGGTGGTGTCCTGCAGCCACCTCATCAGAGAGAAGGAACTTTCAATCTAAATTTAGAGCAATTCTTAAGCACTAAAGCCTTGTCTGTCTTGGAGTCAATGGACATTTGCAAGTGGTCATTTACAATTTGAGATCCTACAGATATATCACCCCTCAACCACTGTTATTTCAAAGATTGAAACTGGAAAATCCTTAACTCTGAGCATCACCCTGTCTTTGCCTGCCGCTGTGGAGCACTGCCATGGGTCAAACGGAATCAGTCGATACAGAGACGCTCACAAGCATGTTTCTCCATCCCTACTGCAGGCTGCAGATTGGTGATGTGAGAATGCATACAACTGGCAGCACAACATGACATCCAGTTTGTGACCTCCTGCTCTTTGATGGTAGCCAAGACTTTTCTCCTGGTGTGGCACTGTTTTCAAAGGAGGAGATGTGTGCAGAGCCCTGGACAAATCTGGAATAAGTTCTCAGACAAGTTTTTTCATCTTTCTCTGTTTCTGAGCATCAGCTGTAAAATGCAGATGGTCATATTTGACTGATCTACTTATTTGGTGTCTGAGTTCTCCTGGCACAATCTTTTGCTGGTTCTTTGCAGCATGCTCAGCATGATGTCACTCTGATTGTGGCAGAGGTCTCCAGGTATTGCTGCACTCCAGACAAATGCCTTTCCTCTTTATTCTTCCTCCTTAATTTGTTCTTAGTTAAATAATCAGAAGCACACTTACATTTCCAGCATTTGTGTTTAGTTTTTCAATGTCTGCTTTTACCCCTACTCAATTTCTTACATATTGCCATGCATTACACGGAATGGTGAGGCACAGACATAAAACCCCTCTGAGCCTTCCACATGCCTCCATCCCTATTTTGATTCTCAGTTCCTTGTCCATCAGGGAGCACGCTTGCTATAGTGACCTCGGGGCTTACAAGGGACTTAAAAAATTCCACTTTCTAAAGAAGCACAAGCATTAAGGCTCTATGTGCATGGCCTGCGTCCAACCCCAAATGTGCCCATGTCAAAGAGTGTTCTTTAAAGGCCTCCGAAGCTCCATTCACAGAACCAAAGTGACACATGCAATAGGGAACTATGAATTTCCAGACATAGGGACACATGTGAAATTACGCTGTCTGAGTAAGGTTACAGGGCTGGGCACTGAAAAATATTTAGGCACCTAAGTTCTCAGAAACCAAAAGGACCGATTGAGATATTTAGGTAGGTTAAAAGCCTGGATCCTACTGAAATATATGAAGGTCTAAATAACTTAACTGTTCTGACAATGCACCTTCAGGAACACCTTATGGGATGTGGCAGAAAATGTGACACTTCCTTCTTTCAAAACGTGAGGCTTTATCTTCAAATGTTTTTTTCCTAGTGGCTAGTTCAGGTCAGAATTAACTTCCATGGCATAACCTAACCCACCTGGGTTAAGATGTTAAGTGTTTTGCAATATCTGCTCAATCTGACCACTTGGTGGTGTAGAATAATAAGATATATTTCTATATGTGAAAGCCAAGAGCACACCACAGATCCTAAACTCTCTCCCTCGGCCCATCTCCAGACATGTTATAGAACTTGTAATAGAAGAGTCAAAGGTAGCTTTTGCTGCACGACAGCTGCTGACACTAACAGCCATTGTACAGCCAAATCCTTTGCAGCAGCCATACAAGTCTGTGACAAGAAAATGGATGGTACAGGTATAGGAAATATGCAGAATTTTCTGGAATGCACCAAAGTGTTACATTTCCAAGGAAGACAAGAAATTAGCATTGTTGTTAAGTACTTGTATGTTCATTTACCACTGTGAATACTAGGAAAAATGTGAGGGCAAGACCCAAGGTCAGCTCCTTAAGCCTTGACTGCTCCCCTTGAGCTGCACAGGAAGAAAGGGAGCCCTGGAGGGGAGAGGAAGATCTCTCTGCAGATTGCAGAGCCTTAGGAATAGTCACAGCCTAGGCACATTACAGCCTGACAAGTGGCAAAAAATCACCTTTGCTCCCTACTTCAAGTGAATTCACCTGGATCCGGAGTACATGATACTAATAGGAGGCCTTGGCAGCTGCTATGTGATGTTAGTCCTGTGCAGGCCTACTGTTTGGAAGGGGTAAGTATATATCTAGGTTTTTTTCAGTTTAAAAGGAACTCTTCTTATTATATTCCTATTTAGATCAGCTCAGATGTAGACACCTGGGTATTTGAGCTCTAATACGATAGTACTGAGACTGAGAAGCAAGATACAAAATAAGCTACTGCTCTATTCTGGATGACCTTTCTTGTTTTCTTCTGAGATTATAAAAGGAAAGTGATGTTTATAACTGGAATAAGTAGGACGTAATAATTTTAATGCAATTATCCTATTTGAAAAGTGAACAAAATAATAACAGTTAATTTTTAAACATCTCTATGTAGCCTAAGTAAATGTAAACTAATTATTCTGATGTTACGGAGACATTTGGAAACCATTAGATGATGAGAGATAAACAGAACTTCAGAATATTAAGCAAAAATGAAATTACTAACATCAGAATTTACCTATATGTAGACTAGCCCCCAAATGAGGCAAAAAGTTATGTTATCTGTGCATAACACCTTAATGTTGCTAATTCCTGCAGAGGACTGGCTAAAACTTCCTTTTAAGCATTTCACAAGTGAACCTTAAATGTACTGGGAAGCTTCTTTTCTGTATTGCCAAGCCCTTCCAGATTGGTGACAGGGTATGTTTGCTGTCTTTGCTGAAGTTTCTGGGTTATTAGCCTATTGCCAGAAAGCAGAAATAAGTTTCCTGCAAAGAAAATGGCACCTGTACTTAGAATACATTTATTATATTTGTTATCTGTCCTATGGTTGCATGCAGGTAACAACTTTCTGCATTGTACTGAGATTGCTATGCAGTGATAACAAGCATTTCTCATTTAATGGCAACTGCCACATAAGAACATAGAAATTGCTTTACAAACGTGAGCTGAGTGACGCACAGGGAAATGACAAATCTTTTAAAATGACAAGAGATGCTCAAGAAAATAGGTTGGTTGCTTGCCCAGCAAGACCCTGGGCTCTCCATGATCTGGTATGAAACAAACGCTAGTCAAAATGGATATGCTCTCCAAATCCCAGGAGGTGTGAGAGACCCCACTGCCTGTGTTAGCTTCATGGCTGAGCCATTTGGAGACAGGATAGGATAGCTGGAACCGCTTGTGGCAGAGATGCAATGAAACTTCCAGAGATCCATGGTTCGCGCTTGTTCTGGACTCTTCATTGGCGCTTGCCCTGCTTCCTGGTGTTTCTCTGTCTCATGCTCCCTGGGTTAGGGACACATCTTGTACTGTCAATGGTTGGATTTGCTTCTTCCAGATGTGGAGAACACAAGTGTTGAAAGTTACCTCT